CAAAATAAATGCCTCTTCACTAACATATAGATTCTTAGTACCCTTGGATGCCTAGCACTTGGCATATTATGACACTCAACCAAAATCCATTTGATTCTAGAGGATATGCAAGACAAGCTTAAGTTGGCAAAGTTGAACATGAAGCAAACTCAAGATTGAAATAAAAGATTGGTTGGTGAGCATTATTGTCATCAAAAGTACAAAGTTGGTGACAAGGTTTTCCTTAAACTGTCAGATGCACAATGGTCTTTAAAAAGGGGTGGCAATGCTAAGTTGTTTCCACAATATTATGGGCCTTAGAAAATTTTACAGCGTGTAGGGAATCTTGCATATTTACTAGCTAGAAAAGGAAAAGCAAAAAGCAAAGCCATGAGCACAAGAAAAATTTCTGGATATAAATTTGTTCAATTGCCCCTCAAAGTTCAAAATGGAGATTGTCCTAGATTTGCTACAATGGCTGATATTTAAGAAAAAAGTTCTACCTCTCTGAATGCCTCTATGTCCCATAATCTCAAATCCAATGGTGCAATTAGTGTGGACATTGTGAACTAGCTCAAGTTTTCTATTCGATAGCAAAGCTTTGTGCAAACAAAGTCTGAAGTTGAGTCTAAGATTGAGTTTAAATATTAATACAAGTTGTAGGGTGAAAACCCAAAGCGATCGTTTCCCAGGGGAGAGAGGAGGTATAAAAAGTTCCAAAAGTATAATAAAAATAATGAGGCTAAAGACTTAGTCTTGAAGAAACTCTTCACTAGTGCTTCTAAATTAAATTAATGTTAGGATTAAGGGTTAATGGGTGGGAATGAACATGGACTCGAGGGATGCCAAAAAGACCTCTCAAGGAAGCGCTTGAGAGCAACTCTCACCCCCAGAAGGAAAACTAATTGTGGTATACTATAGTATATACTTTATAAAGTATTACTTACCTTTTAAAAGTAGAAAGAGTCAAATGAATTTAATATAAATAAGTTTAAAGACTAATCCTAAAAATTTTAAGTACATTACATACATAATAAATAAATAAATATATATATATATATATAAATAAACTAAAAGAAAATATTTATTTTAATAAAAATTTTGTATATAAGCTATATGATATTTCTACTGTAATTATGATTGATTAATTGAATTGAATTAGTATAAATTTGGTATATAGTAAATTTGATAATACTTTAACATGAAAAAAAAATTCACAAACTGTATTAAAATTGAAATTATAGTAAAAAAAATATATAGAGAATTTAATATAATTTTTATGGGTTTTTGGTATTTAAAGTTTATTTTTCTGCAAAATTTTACAATTTTTTCTATGTTATAATTTTAAAAAATTTTATACTCTATAAGGCCAATATAAACTATAACATTATTTATATTAACAAACCATATTGTGTTTTAATTTCATGATAATGCTTGATAGAATTATTAATCATATATCATATTTATTATAAATTATATCGTGTTTTAATTTTTTACTAAATCTAATAAGCCACAGCATTATCTGTTCAAGACATTATAAACCACAACATTATATATATGAAAAAATATCTATAATAAATACTAGATTGTGTTCTAGTTCTATAATAGTGCTTAAGAGAATCATATATCATCTACATTTAAAACCACATCAATTTATATGTTATGTAGTTCCGGTTTCATAACTATGCTTTGAGAGAGAATCATGTCGAAACACATGTATATATAAATTATATGCATGGTGATAACCCTATTCAAGAGTTATCAGTCTAAGGATTTACATTTATTCCCACAGGTTTGCTGGAAACCTATAAAGAAAAAAAAAAAAACCATATATACAATGAAAACTATATTAACAAGCATACTATTGGTTGGGATGGTGGTCAAATGTTTTGGTGTGGAGATTGATTGGGCCTTCTATATTTCTGAAGTGCATGCCAAGGAGAACAAGCTGAAGGATGGCAATTCCTATGCACATGCCCTCAAACACAAGAAACTTCTTGTTGCCAACATTACAATGGGAGTCTGACTGTTAGAAGATCAAATGGTCTATGGCACCTCCTCTAACATATCCTTGTTAGTAATTTAGAATATACTATAGGTGTTTAGAAAATTTTATAAATTATAAACACAAGATTAATCTAAATCTGTTAAATGGTAGAATATTCTAAAATATCCAAGAATATTTTAAGTATATTCACTACCACACATTAAACTTTAAACTTGTAGAACTTGTAGAAAATGCTTTCTTTTAATGTGGCTTTGACTTGTTGTAAAAGTGTTTACTGAAATTAAATATATTTAAATCTAAAATTGACATAATTATATGTCATAAGAATAAAAAATAAAAGATAGTTTATTCAATTTTTTTGAAGAGATTATTCAGAGTTTAAAAAACATCAGTCCTTAAAAACCAACCCAAATATTTACCCTTACTTTTTACTCTGAACCATTTCCAGTGTTCTCAGAAAAATCAAAAACCCGTGAGCACTGAATCAGTTAGAAGCCAACTGTACTACATCTTGCAATATAGGCATGTGGTATGTAGCGATGCTTGTGGAAAGCTTGAAGAAGCTAGAGTCTTGCGGGATTGCAGAGCCATCTGAACCGTGTAGGTCTGCATGTCATCTCAGTCGTCCCAAGATGCGAGTGGTCTACTGAGCACACTTACAAAAAATTTCGGTCCAGAGCAAACACACTCTCCAGCTATGCACGAGCGTGCATACCACTCGGACTCCCCAGGCCTGGGACAAAGAACAATATCTGCAAGGCTTGCTGGACACTATCTGCCTAGCTGTCCAACTAAATCGCGCATTTATTCTTCTGAGCAAAGTTGACAAGCGTAAGAGCATGCCGATGGTAGGATGCATGAAGCTATGAAGCTGTATATGCACCAGGATGTGTTAAATTCCCACCGGAATTCAGTATAAAGCTCCATATGTTTGAACAACCGTGCAAACAAAACATACCTAACTTCTTTCGAGGTATCCCTAAACTTGAGTATGCCACATGTCCTCGGAGACAATCTAGTGTTTTCTCTCCAAAAGGAGACAAGTTCCATCCTGGTATTTGTTTCTGCAACGTTTGGAGTGATCTATTCAATCAGAAACCACGTCTTGGTGACGTTAAGCCTCATTCTCCAGTCTCTTGCTATGCACACCAATCACACTAGAGAGACCGCAAGGAATCCAATCTCGGACTAGCATTTGCAAAACAGATTGCCGGTCATTGCTTCGATCTAAACCCTGCAGAAAAATGCTTGAGATATGTGATCGCCTCTTGAAATGATGTATCCTGTCCTACTTAGCATCAAGAGGATTTGCTGACAAAAGCTATCCATATCTACCACCAGTGAACACTGATGTTGGCAACTACTGATACAAACTCTCGATCCTTCATGCCCCTCAAAAGCCCTAGCAGCCGCCCTGTACACTCCCAAACACAACCCCAGGTCTTTCTCACTTGACAAACTCACTGTGCAACATGATTCTACATTGCCTAGTTGACTGTTTCCACTTGCCAATGGCCTCATTTCATAAGAGTATAAATACTTTGACATTTGGCCGCAGCTAACTGTATTTGGCAAGTGACGGCTTATTGCGATGCGTTTGCTCGAATCAGTCACCAGCAACAAGGACTGGATCATTACCCAATTTGGTGCTTAATTTCTGAAATTAGAATAGTTGCAACTTCAATATTTGAAACCCTTATCTGCCCCTTTTAAGGTGCAAAATCCTTACCTAGTGGGCTTTAGGTCTGATAAGGAGATGAGTGTATTTGAGAAGAAGGTTGAGTGGGTATTACAAGCTAGAAGAGCACTTGGGCAGAGGCCACTTCCAGCTTTCGTAGCAGGCAACAAAGTGAACCTTGCACTCTTGCTAGACAAAGTGAAAGAATCAGGTGGGTACTCTAAAACTAGTGGGTCTAGAAAGTGGGGGGATATGGCATCCTCTATAGGGTTGCCACCACATTGTGGGCCTAGTGTTAAGTTAGTGTATCTCAAGTATCTCAAGGCTTTTGAGAGTGGCCGAGTCTTTGATGCTGGTGTTGCACCTGCAAATGCCACCAAAGGGAATGTTGACCCAAATGTAAAGCGACCAATCCACTCTCATGTCAAAGAGGCCCTAGCCCATGTGAGGAAGTTGGCTCTAGATCCAGCAATTGCAGCCCACAGTGAAGGGGAGAACGAGAAATTTCAAGCAATAATAAGGGGGTTTTTGGGTCGCCTCCAGAGGCAAGACAACCAGCAATACAGCCACCAGAAGGTACCCTACATAGTTTATGGTCATTTTCATAACTAATTACTGTACTACTTATATGTACAGAGATACGAGAACAATAGACCACGACGACCTTCCAAGTATAGCCTTCGTTCTTTGACACCTCGACCCAAACTTCAGCGTTCAACATCAGAGCCTGAGAGCGTTCCAATCGGACCAAGCTTTCAAGCCGAAGTTCCCTCTTCCGTGCCTCTCAATGCCGACGACGACGACGACTCGAAGCTCTTTCTAGGAAGAGTGGTCTGGTCCAAAAGAGCGGTGAGAAGCCATACCACTAGTATGTGCTTCTGCACGGACGATCGTTCGGAAGACTGTGTGAAGCAACACGTCGACGAGCAACGCAGGAAGCTCAAGCTGGAGCTGGGAGAGGACATCTTCCAGGAGTGGGGATTCCACACAATGGGGGAGAGCTTGATCAAGTCGGGCAAGTGGAGCAGGCAAGAGCACGCTGAGTTTGCGGCGATCGTGAGAAGCTGCCGCGGGGACAAGGAGGAGAAGCTTTGGCCGGACCTCCAAGCTTCCTTCGCGGGAAGGAGGAGCCGGGAGGACCTGGTAAGCTACTACTTCAACGTCTACATGCTGAGGAAGAGAGCTCTCCAAAACAGAACCTACGCAGCAGAGAGTGAGAAGTTTGATAGTGATAAGGAGGACGACGACTTACCAGGCTTGGTGGTCTGAGAGTCTTTTTTGTCAAGGATGAGAGCTTACTTGAGACCTGCGCTCCTTGAACGATTCTCAAACTTATCTAAAAGGTGAAGCCTGGCAATAAAAAAGAGCTGGAGGATTGCTGTACAACCTGCTCTTCGGCCTATTTCACAAGTATCTTTGCAGCAGAGACCATGTACACTAGAGCAGGAGGAAGCTCGGGTGGATTTGAAACGAGTCCTTGATTAGCTGTATGAATCGAAGATGTAAAATCTTTCACAGTAATAAAAATGAAATTCACCTCTGCTTGTTGACAAACAACCTCACGAAGATCTCGACCCGTCATGATGGACGAAGAAAAGAAACAATACTCATTGTACCCTTCGCTTGTGGCTGCAGCAAAGGACCTCGCATACTGGACTACAATTTCCTCTCTTTCTACAAAAGAGAGAATGCGCCAGACCCAGATTGGATCGTGAGTTATAAGCTCGGATAAATTTCTTTCACCTTCTTTTGGAGGACTGGAACAACGTGTGACACAAGCAGCTGTGCCACCGAGAACGATTCACTTCTCCACGGCAGGAGATCGATTCCCTCATGTGGTACTGGCCAAAACCAAACGGCGCGTTGATCTCGTGCCCTTCCCCTGCTCCGTGACGGCCCAACCCTACATAGCAAAAAGGACAATTGTAACATTGTTTTCATAAGGGTGTTCACTCTTGGAGTAAACTTTACTCCAGCAAAGGAAACTTCACTTAATCAAATTTAAACCAAATTAAAATTTATAAAAACTAACAAAAATTAGGTGGTAGCATTTGAATAGATTACTCCAGAAAGGAGTGAACTTCACTTTAGACTAAAATGAAGAGTTTACTCCTTGCGAGTGAAGTGTACTCCCAAAAGTGCCATGAAAACAGTATCCCAAGAGATGGCATAGTTTCTCTTTGATGCATTTTGCTTTTCTTCTATGTGGTTGTTTGATAAAATGTGTATGTAAATTCTCTAATGTCCCATAAGGACTAATGGCATACACTATTTAGTGGAGCTCTCCCTTTGACAATAAATCTGAAGTAGAAATGGCTGCAGTCACTACTATTGTACTGCATTCAGGTCCAAGTCCCCCCTTCGTGTGGACCACAAGATCAATTGTGGGGTGTGCCATCTCCATTGAACCTCTTCTAGTTGCCATCACCGAAACATGGTAGCCATGTTCTCTGCCATTCCTCTAGCCACTTTGGCTTCCCCCTGTCTTAAAGGATAGTGTGGTGGAGCCATATTGCTGCTAGTGTAAGTCTCCACCACTCTGCCATCACCTATGATACCCTGGCCTATATCCCATTGAAGTAAGCCTAATTATGTGCTTCCCATAAGGCCTAGACCCCTGTCGCACACTATACTACCCATTAAGCGTGGCCAAGAGCTTCCCACACAGGAACTCTTGGCCATGTGAACCTAGATCCCCTAGCCTTGTCATCCTCTGCACCTAATATGTCACAGGGTTGGGCCTTAGGGAGGACCTCTCACTCCCTCAAACTAGTCGAGAACATCCCCACTGTGGGCCTCAAACTCCTATGTAAATCCCAACTCCACTACTTTGATGATCTGTTGCCATACCTCCTTTGTAGTATTGCACTCCCACAATGCATGTGTGATCATCTTGATCTTGCCACACTTCCTGCACTTGCAACTTGCATCATCCTAAAAGTGGTGTTCTACTAGGAGACTGTTGTTGGCTACCAGCCACGAGGTGATCTTCTACACAAGCAGTTTCCAGAAGTGAATTGTGTTGTCCACCACCTGCTCTGCATGCTTCCTTGACCTCATAGGAGAAAAAGCTTTTCACCCCTCATCACCATGTAGTGGGGTTCTAGTCTGGATCTTTTATCAATTGTTGGTGCCACCATAGCAGTGTTCCATCACCCTCTAGTAAGCCCTTTGACTCCACCATGTCTAGCCTCTTGGGTGTCTACCTAAGAACTCAGATCCTCCCATATACCTTATTGTTAGTGACGTCTAGCATCACTTGCATCTCAGCCATCAAGAGAAGCATATCTCCTTTGGTGACACGAAAAGGTCGTCTTGTATTGTGCTCTAGTGAAATGAAAAACCACACCTTAACATCCCCTTTTGCCCACGCTGGTGTAGTTGTTGTTAATGCTCGAGTCCATGTCCCTAATGGAAGGTGCACTACATCCTACTCTTCCCACTCCATTTGCCATTGGATTGTAATAAAGTCTCCTGCTTTGAGGCATCTCCTAGGCCACTTCATCCCTCCTTTAGTAGTGTTCATGACTTGAAGGAGTCACAGAATGTCCAGTAGAATGTTATGCCACTTCCATGGTCCGAACACTTGTGTCCTCTTCTCTATTTGGCATCAATCCTTGTTGATCACTCTAGCCAGTTGCTTCATGGTCCAAAAACCATTCGAATGCATTTTTCTCCAGATTGTGTGTGCACCTCCCACCCTAGTGTAACATCTCCCATTTGATATAGTGCATTGAAGAATAGAGGCTAGTTGAGCCACTCCTCAGCTCTGCTCGGTGGCACTTGCTCCAGCAGAAAAGCTCTTCATAGTTTATGCATACTCTGGATGAGGTTGCCCCCTTTCACTACCTGTGTCAGCCAATTTGCGAAGAGCCATTGAGGGTCTTCCTCCCAAGGTTTGGCTGCATTGTGCTTAGGGCATATTGCTAGGAGACTCTATCGAAACATTAGTCACCACAGCTGCCTCCCTAGTTGCAAGCCCATGAGAATGATTTTAAATCTCAATGCCTTCGCCATGTTGCTAGGGTTAATGATTCAAAGCCCCCCTAGGATCCATGGCCGTGCTATGGATTGCCATGCCACCTTGGCTATAGTCTGCTTTAAGGCCAAGGTTCCCCACCATATGTAGATTCTCACTATTTATCTCACCTTTTGCAGTGTGGCCTCTAGCACCAGCCAAATTGAGAGGTGATATTGGATGTTGGGGAGGATCATGCTCTTGACTACTATGATCCTCGTTGGGAGCCCAAGTTTCCTCAAGGCCCATTTCTAAATTGCAGTCCAAATCCTCCTAAGTAGTATATTGTCCTGAGTGGCTGCACTGTATTGGAACCCCATTGGATGTGCAAGTAGCAGGTGTCTTCGCCTGGCCAAAGCCACTAGAAACCAATCTCTTGTCCCCAGGCTTCGATGCCTAACTTTCCCCAATTCACCCCAACTGACTTATTCCAGTTGATAGCAGCTCCAGTTGCCATGTTGAAAATCTCTAGTTACTTTGCTGTGTTGAGATTCTCTGGGGTGGTGAGCAGGAATAACATAGTATCATTTGCAAACGCCCCATCCTACAACTCCCACGTCATATCCTATGTTCCCAGAAGTTGTAGCTGTTTAGTGGGTAACACTAGTCCCTTGATATCTCCTTTGTGTGCCAGGAAACAGCCCAGCATCTCTGCAACAATCAGAAACAGGTAGGGGGTGAGTGGACATCCCTGTCTCACTAAGCATCCCAAATGGAAGGTTACATTTAATGTGACCTAACTTGATGCTCCCCTATATAGTAGCGAGATGCACAATATAGTAACGTGTTTTCACTAATCTTTGAGAAAGAATATTAGCTGGACCAGCCTTCTCAGCATCAATCTCTAGGACCTGGATGATGGACTGATCCACAACATCACTAAAGTGTAAACAAACTTTAAGCTTACTCACATAGAACATTGGATGAATTTTCGAACTTGGGGATTTAGTGGGAACTAAAGAAGGGATATTGGGGAAGGGTATTCCCCATGTCTTTAAGCATCCTAAGGATTAACCCCATCTTTGGCTCCACTTTGTTCCTCTGTAATTTCTTTTTTGTGCAACTTGACTCTTTAAATGGTCATACCAAATCTCAAGAACCATTTTTAGGTAATTCAGGATTCTCTATCTGCTCGGGATTCTCAGTTTACTTGCTTTCTTGAGGATTTCTTAATAAAGCTTGAGAAAGGTTCTCTCGTTTGCACTATACCCTTGTTCTTTGCAATGGGAGTTAGTTTCTTATAACTCCACTATCTATAGAAGAAGTTCAATACCTATATTGAATGTATTTATTCAATCTTACAACTTATTGACCATGGCCCTAGGGGCATCTCCCCACTTAGTGGTGTATCTAATTCAGCCTCCCCAATTAGGAGTCTATGATTATAAGATATAGGTGTCCTTATACCCCTCACCTCACCTCACTCTAGTAGGTAGTTGGGACTTGAGCCCAACTTTGTTTTACTAAAGGGTTGTGTAAGCAACCAAAGAGAATGACTTGAGAGATGGTCTACTAGGTTTAAATAAATAGGGAAAAGACCCAGAAATAAAAGTGCACCCCTTTTTTTTAATCAGTTAAAGGTCTTAGGATACTTGAGGTTAAGTGTCTTTATGTTTGAGTAATACTAGGCTAGGTAATCTCCCTGAAAAATTTTGGAGCTTATAAGTTGGGATTTGCACCCAACCTCCATAGAATACGTTCACAGATTTGATATTCCCTTGACAAGTTGGGCATAGCTCTTTATGTTTGGTCGACCTAACTAAACCCATACTAATTAACTTACCTCCATTGCATCTTGGGACCCAATTTAGGACACTTCTCAATTTCTCAAATAGATGCTTTAATTGAACTTTGTATGAGTACATAAAATTTTACCTTCTAGAAATTCCTCTACTAAATCTTAAGTATTTGGTAGATTCTCCTTTAGCTTTTATATTACCTCACTGAGTGGAAATCCTTTCCACTTCACATAGAACCCCTTCACTTTGCATCCTTGTTGCTTGTTCTTGTGCATATTAAAGATAGCCTTGGCTTTATATTCTTCCTCTCCTTGAATAACCTCAAGTAAGGGTCTCATTTGGTCTTCGCTAAGTGGGTCTTCAAAGTATGGCTTGAATAAGTTCACATAGAACATAAGACACATCTTCCTTATCTCTCTAGAAAGTCAAAGGCGGTAAGCCATGTTACCAATTTGAGCCTCAATCTTATAAGGCCTTGTGAATTTTCTTAAATAATTCAAGATCATTTCATTCTAGGAATACATGCACTTTACCTTTGGGTCTATTTTTGGCTGATCCCACTTGGTAACCTTAGGTTTTTGATGTTTAGCCATACCTTCTCCCTAAGTTGGAACTCTATATCTTTACACTTTTGGTTTGTATATTTGGTTTTTCTTTATTAAACTTGTTTTAAGGAATCCCTCATGAGATTCTAAATATTGAGTCTTTCCACCATAAATGCCTCTACTGTGAGTAACTCTCTATGCTACTTCGCTATGCCAAGTGCTATGGGACCTTCAATGGCTCATCTATTGATAACTTCCCATGGACTCACCTTATTAGTCGAATATAGTGAGTTGTTACAACATATTTTTACAAATCCTAAATGATTTACTTAATCAATCTGGTTTTTGGAGACATAACATCATAAATAATCCTCCAGCTACCTATTTACCTTTTTTATTTGCCCATCTATCAAGAAGTGTTATTACTATCATACTTGATTCAATACTTATTTCCTGTTTGTGGGTGACAGATTATATTGAATTTCAATTTAGTGTGATATTACTCCAGGAGAGTTCTCTTGAACTTACTAGTGAAAATCTTATCTTGATTTAAGATGATTTCTTCTAGCCTTCC